TTTTTTGTTTTCTTTTTGCTGCTTATTCTCATTCGTGTGCATTTTCAATTATATGAAGCAGTTTTGAATTTGTTCAACGTTGAACAAAAGAGATTGAGTTGATAGTTTTTCTTTTTTAAATGAAACACAGTGAAGTATATCGAAGATGATTGATAAGCCAAAAAAAAACAAGAGTATGTTTTTATTGTTTTACTCGTTTACAATTTCGTAAAATAGCGTAATAATAGTACATTTGATGGTTATTTCTGTGCTCAAGAGGAATAACACGAATAATCTGTATGTAATTATACAAAAGTTGACTTATGTCCGAGTTACGTCTTATTAAAGATGTTTTATCTTTTAACATATACTTTTTTTGATGAATGACACTAACCACTGTACTATATGGGATTTTTGTTTTTTCCTACCTTTTTGACATGTCTTTTCCTCTTAGCCAACGATTGTACAGTTTTAAGTTATGTACGTAATTAATCAGTATTTTGCTAAAAAATTACCATTAGAAACGCTTAGAGGTAGTCAAATAGTAAAGAGAAAACAAGAGAGAAAAAAATAATACAGCGTTCTAGAGTAATTTCATTGATAAAGTGTCTTTTAATACATTTGTCATATTTACATGTGCAACTAATTATTGTTGAAGTTTAAACATATTTCAGAAATTTGAAAGCTACGATTAATATTAATCACTATGATGAGGAATAATAACATGTGTACAATAATCAAAGACTTTTAATACATTCTAGCGTAGTTCATGTTTTTCATAGTCAAACTGTTTTGAATTTAATGTTTGACAAGGTAAATTTTACTAGACTGATGGAATGAAAAATCCTGTAATATTAAAAAAGGACACATATTTGAATTTATTGTAATATTTTTTTCTTATTCATTGAATTTTGATGATAAAAGACGACTATTAACAGATACTTATTATTGGATAGATATTATATCGGTTAAACACTGGACTTATTTGTCCTATATTGATATGTTATCAAGTAAGTATTACTCATTTGGCTGCGTATTGAACAGTTTTTGTTTTTAAACAAGCGCATCAAATTTTTCTTCTCAGGCTGCTGTATTTCATTGTTAATAACTTACTTGTAAATACGTAGGAGGAGAGTAATATGTGTTTGTTTTATCAAAAAAAAAACAAAAAAAAAGAAGAAAAATCGAAATTTTATTTTATTTTTTTTTGTATCTGTTTACCTTCACATTTTCATTTCACAATTAGAATTATTACGTCGTCAAGAAGAATTACGTCGTATCGATGAATTACGTTCACAAGATTTAGATCGTCGTCGTAATTTTCAAATGCGTCGTCAAGATCACTATGTTGATTCATTTGGTAATGGTGTTACATCACAAGTTGCAGCAGCTAATGTTTATGCATCACAAGCACTTCAACAACAGGGTAATCCACAAATGAATTTTGGTGGTGATGGACATGCATATTCAAATCCATTAGCCAATCTTCAACAACAAGCACAGCAACAATCAATTGATTCAGCCTATTCGACAGCAATAACACGTCAAGGTAATCAAAATGATCGCTATGTTGGACAACCACAATCACAACAAGTACGCGGAGGAGGTGGAGATGATTATTCACAACAACAATTTGATAGAAATAAACGACCACGTTATTAGACTGATACACTTTAGACAGTGTGCATGTTTCTTATATCTATTTAGAAAAAGAAAATATTATCATTCTTGTTTATTTCGAGTAATGAACTCTTTTAAACAGATGCATCTTTTTTAAAAATGATTGCGTAAAAGAAATGAATTTTCTATCTATTTAGTAAAGTTTATGTGCATTGAAAGAAATGAAGTTATCTGTTGTGTTTTCGTAATGTTTTGTTTTTTGTTTTGTCGTTTTTGTTTCTTTCTTCACTTCTATGCTTTTGGTTTGTTTGTTTTTTTCGTTTTCATTACACAATATCTCTATCTCTATCTCTATCTCTCTCTCTCTCTCTCTATATATATATGTGTGTGTGTATATTCCTATTTGCGTAGATATATTTCATTTTCGTTGTTCAGTCTAAAAAAAATAAACAAAAAACAAATCAATACAGAGAGAGACAGAGAACAGTCACAGCATAGAACAACAACAACAACAGAGCGCATCATTTGTATTTATATCAGTGTAAAGGCATTATGAGGACTTTTTTTTTGTTTACTTTTTGACTTTACGAAAGAAACGTGTTCTTGTTTATTCGTTTTTGTAAAAAACCAAAATATAATTGAATT